ATTTCATTTAATTCTGCTCTAATTCTTATTATTTCCTTTCTTCTGGCGCCTGAGGGCTTCTTTTGCTGTTCTCTTTCTACTTGTTCCAGTTGTAGAGTTAATGTTTTGATTATGGCCCTTTCTTCTTTTTGGATGTGCGCTCACAGGCTTTTAAAACCCCAGATGCTACTCACCAAAGTAGAAGGTAGAACATTTTCTTTCTAAACTGTGTTATGCCAATTGTGGCTCCTCATTCTTGATGACACTTGTTATCGTCCATCTTTTATTTAACACCATTCTGGTGGGTGTCCATTCCTTCTATTCCTTCACTTATCTTCTTGGTACCTCCCTTTCCTCATCTGTGAAATGGGATGATGGGGGCCTGCCAACCTCATGGGCTGGGTGAAATGCATTACAACATGAATACAGTCGGTGCCTGGCGTGAGGGATGGGCATGAGGCGGCGTAGGTGGGGGCTGCTGCTGTTGGCTTTCATTCCTGTGGTCATGTTCAGTTGCTCAATCAAGAGGTGGATGAGACTCTATTCAGCCATAAAGAGAAATGAAGTCCTGATGCATTGCACATGGATGAACCTAGAAAACACCACACTGAGGAAATAAGGCAGCTGCAGAAGGACAAACACTGTATGACCTCACTTATATGAAACACAGAAATATATAGACACCAAAGTTGATTAGTGGTTGTGGGGGAAGGAGGGGGAGGGACATTTTTGCTTAGGGGCATTGAGTTTATGTTAATGGTGGTAAAATCCTTGCAAAAGGACAGAGAGAAAGATTGCACAACTTGAAGAATGTAATCAGTATCACTGAATTGTACATGTGGAAATTGTTAAATTGGTAAAGGTATTTTTGCATATATTTTCACCACGGGGGGTGGAAAGAAAAAGAGGTGGGTGAGGAGGAGGGGTTTGGGCCCCTTCCTTCCACTTCCCCCACCCTCTCTGCCCCACTGTCTGTCTGCCTCCCGCTGGAGCCTGCCTGTCACCTGCAGGGCCAGTGTGGCGGCCACTGTTTTTTTTTGGTAAACTGTCAGCACGGAGCTGAAGGGTATCATCTGTGTGATAGGGTGACTGTCCCCACTGTTAGTGGGCATCACTGGCCGCTGCCACGGGCCAGGTGGGTCACTGGGCAGGCAGACCTCTGCTCCCACCCAGAACCTCCTCTGGTCCTCAAACCAGTGCCTCCCAGGACCCTTTCGGGTGGAGGGGTGGGGGGCTTTGGAGCTGGCCAGGCCTGGACTGAGTTCTGGTTGTGGGGCTGTGTGGCCCTGGGCAGAGTCCTTGGGTGGAGCAAACAGTTAATGCATTTGACTGTTAACCGAAAGGTTGGCAGTTCAAGTCCACCTAGAGGCTCCTCAGAAGAAAGGCCTGGCAATCTACTTCTGAAAATAAGCCAGCGAAAACCCTACAGAGCACAGTTCTACCCTGGTACACATGGGGTTGCCGTAAGTTGGAATCGACAACAAGTGGTTTGGGTTTTTTTTGTTTATGTTTTTTGTTGGCCCTGAGCATGTTTGCTCAGCTGAGCCTCAGTTTGCCCACCTGTGGAATGGGGGTAACGATCATGCCAGTCTGCAGGGTGGCCTTGAGGAGTGACCGAGCCAAGGGGCCCAGCAGAGGGATGAGGTTCACAGCAGGTGCTGGGGGTTCATGACCCATCTGGGCACTCAAGCAAAGAGAACCCTCTGAGATCTCCATAGCACACTGACTTCCTCCCTGCCCTGCAGAGCGCCCCAGGCCCTTTAGTGACTCCTAGTGGTGGGGGACTTAGGAGAGTGGCTTTACCACTCTGAGCCTGTTTCCTCACCTGTAAAATGGGAATGCTGCTGCTAACATGACCTCCCAGGGTGGCTGTGAGGACTTGATGAGTTATGTTGGTGGGACAGGCTGGCAGAAGCAGGTCCTCTGTGTGAGTGTTCATGTCCTCCCCCTCCCCCTATCTGCCCTGGGCAAGAGCTTTCCGAGGAGAGAAGGGGCAGAAGGCTCAGGCCACCCCTCCGACAGGCACAGGTGGGCCTGGCATTGTGCTGGGAGTTGACTGCAGACCCCCCGCATTCCCTGGTCTCCCCACCAGGCAGAGACCACACAGCCACATCCCCTCCTCTCAGAGCCTCACCCCAGAGCCCACCCCACCCCCCAGCCGGGGCTACTGGGGCAGCTTTCTGGAAGAAATGGCCTCCAGGTGAAGTCCTGGGGCTGCAGTGTAAGGGGTGTGGGAGGAAACAAGCATATTCAGGCAGCGGAAACAGCACAGCGAAGGCACAGAGCAAGGAAGCAGGCCTGGGGTGGGGGAGCTGGCAATACCTCAGGTGAGCAGGTGCCTGGGAGCAGATGCCCGGAGGGAGAGGCCTGAGGGCAGCTCAGGGGTGGGAACGGAGGTGCGAGGGGCTTGGCTTCACTGTAGGAGCAACCAGGGTGGTTCTGTCCCCAGGGGACACCCAGGCAATGTCTGGAGACATGTTCCATTGTCATAGCTGAGGGTGGGGATGCTATTGGCACCCAGTGGGTAGAGACCAGGGATGCTGCTCAACATCCTTCAGTGCCCAGGACTGTCTCCTACAACAAAGGACTGTTGTTGTTGTTAGTTGCTATTGAGTGGATTCCGATTCATGGCGACCTCGTGGAAGAGCAGAACTGCCCCATTGGGTTTTCAAGGCTGTGACCTTTCGGAAGCAGATCGCCAGGCCTGCCTTCCGAGGCACCTCTGGGTGGGTTCGAACCACCAGCCTTTTGGCTAGTTGTCAAGCGCTTAACCATT